TGATCCTATACTGTTAGCTAATCAAATTTAGCAATTTCACATTGAAATCCCTTATAAACAATGAAATGAACATTTAAAAAATTAAAGGTTTGTACATTACAGAAATAAAGTAGATTCAAGATTATGAAAATCATATATTTTGTATGGTAGAGAGATAATGGTTAGCAAATAACAAAAATTCTGCAGATTAAAGAGTAAACAAAAAAATTATATTTTTATTGCAGAGAGTTGGCATTCAGGAAAGGTGACATTTTATACCTGATAAGACAGATTGACGCAAACTGGTTTGAAGGTGAGAGAAATGGACGTATTGGTATATTTCCTGTCAACTATGTTGAAGTTCTAACATCTATAGAGGAAGCCTCTACAGCCGCGAGACAGTCAGAGGGGCAAGCCAGAGCTAAATACACATTCAACTCACAGACCTCTGTTGAGCTGCCCCTTAATAAGGTATTTTCTTATCTTTTGGAATAATTGTAGCATTTAGAAGTTGCCAATACCTCTAACATATAGTCAGGCTAGTAAGCATGCTGGACCAAACAATATTGTTATGTAACTCAATAATACTACATGTATTTTGATATTGAAATCCCTTAAAATAACAAAAAGATTGTTCTGAATTCAAAACAGGACAATTTCAGTAAACAATTTCAACAAGGGAAAGGCAATAGCCTGCTAGGAAGAGCACTGGATTCCTACTCAGGGAACTCTTTGATCCTTCGACAAAAATTTCTATTTTGACAATTGATCTCTTTAAGAAAATAATAATTACAGTCACAGGAAATCTGGTTAGGTGAATCTACTGTCAAGATATATACATGTATGTCAGATATTTATAAAATCAGCATAAAAACCAAACAAACAGCAAAGGATATGGGTAAAATTGTTTAAATTTTGATATTTTGTAAAGTAATTGATGATAAGTACAAGCATTCAAGTGAGTTTACCATTTCATAATAAATTGCAGTTTATAACATAGATATTTATTTTTTCAGGGTGATATAGTGACATTATTACGTAACGTAGATGATAATTGGTTTGAGGGTCGCGTTGGGAACCGACAAGGTATATTTCCGGTGGCGTATGTAGAAGTGTTGCAGGAGCCGTCCACTCCACTTATTACACCAGCCCCCTCTGTTATAACAACACCAATGACAGGACGAGGTGAGATTTGCCAATCACTTGAACTATTTCTAAAAACAACATCATATATTACCAGTTGTATGGTTTGTAAAAATAACCTTTTTAAAATGAAACAGATAGATAATGTCTTTGAATTGTTGGTAATATTAATTTTACTCAAATTTAGATTTTAAACTGCCCTTTATAAATTGTGAATGGGTATTGTCCAGATTGAAAGATTGACTAGTACATTTAAGCTATTTAGCATTCTATGTATTAGAAGGTAAGGAAATTTATAAAAGTTTTTGTGAATGCTGTAATGGCAAAATTGTGACTTGCTTTTTATATAAATTGAATGTTTGTCTGAATAAAATCTATGTTAACTTCCCTGAAAAATTAGAAAAAGTAGGTACTTTTCGGTTTTAAAAAATTATGTTCCTTTTCTCCAATATTCATTTATGGAGGCATATAATTATATGCCACTTAAAATTTATTACTTTAAAATAGTGTTATTATATAGTTACAGTGATATAATCTTTATTTGAAATTACATTACTATAACTACCTACAGGTACACCTGAGATGTTGTCACCTGTCAGTTATGATGGAGCACCTACCCCACCCCCACAGCCATACCCCAGGGGCTTTCACAATGCAGTCAGATAATCTTGGAAGTAGATATGCAACAAGTCCACGAGATCAACATTTTTCAACAGCAACAGGACGACAGTAGATTAAGATCGCAAAACATGAAAAATATATCACCGCAGAGAATTCGAGGGCGTACAATTCTCAAAAGACATTATGACAACTCTTTGTCGTCTAGTAGACATATTAACGGAGGTTATTCACGGCCACAACAACACACAGTTTTAGTGACTTTTCAGCGCCGAATCAGCGAAGAGCCCTCAACAAATCATAGAAAAGACAATCCACCCTCTTTAAACATTACAGCAAAATCAGTGTCTACCCCTAATGTAAGCATGACTATAAAGTAGAAAACTTTAGCAAAGGAACTAGACAAGAAGAAGATTTAGCAATAGCAAGGTGAGTTATATGATAAAGTGGTGTATATACATTAATTTTGAATTTGCGGATTTTAATATGATAATAAGGTTATGTTTCATGTGAAATGACAGTGGTATTGCACAAGACCTTAAATAGATTCTACAAAATATTCTTTCAGCAATAAGAGTCTCTTGTTTTCAATGTGATATTACCAGTATTTCTAAATAATATTTAATATCAAATTAAATGACATAATCAAAAATGTAAAATCAAGGGGTGACATTGATTAGTAAATTGTGTACTCAAGTGAGATTTTGCCATTTTATAAATCTACGGCTGTATAATATAATTTTAAAGAGATAATCTAATATTGTTTATCTTTTAATAAAGATTTAGATGTAACTTTTTACCGAAATGTTCTAAAGCTTCCCATATGCTCTCTTTGTCACAATTTCTAAGACTTGTGTAATGCAAATCAAATTTGATTGACTTTTGTTACAGGTATCGAGCAATCTATGCATACAGACCTCAGAACGAGGATGAACTTGAGTTATTAGAAGGAGACGAGATTTATGTAATGGAAAAGTGTGATGACGGTTGGTACGTCGGAACTTCAGGTCGAACCGGAATGTTCGGTACCTTCCCCGGGAACTATGTTACCCGATCACAATAGCTTCTGCTCGTATAATAGGTGTGTTTCTTTTTATATTTTGACCTTTAAATAAAGCATATATTTCTATGTCAATAATTCAGTTATAATGTTTAATTGTTACCAGTCTGAAATAATATCAGTATTTATGTTTGAAAGTTTTTACATTACATTAATTTGATGAATTGTGTTGAATAATTTATGATTTAGTGTAAACTGTTTGAACGTTACATTACTAGAGCTGCTAGATTCAGGTTATATAATAAAAAAACTTTTATACACAGCCATACATGCTGTCAAAATTGCACAGTTGCTTTTGCCGACAAAAATAAAATTTACGAAATTTGTAACATAATTTATAGCATACCTTCATTGCTGTTATACATGAAATATTGATGGATGAATACCATGATGAAAATACTTCATATAAAATATTGGATAATTGACATTGAATGTTAACAGAAAAAAAATTGATTTAAAATTAAAAATAATAATAAAAAAATGATTGGTTTCAGATTGTATACCATCATTTACAGTATTGCATAATTGTACATTGTACATTACCGATGAAGTAATAACTTTGAATCATGTTAATTGTCATTTTTCATTTATTTACAGGTAGAAAGCATAAATAACCAGTAGTGCCAATTTAGCAGTTTTTGTACAGAAGAAGCTGTGTTGTATATAACATGTATATATGCCGTGTAAATAAATGTGTAGATTATTATGTCTGTGAGAACACAACTTCCTCAAACTTCAACAAACATCTTCTGACTTACCAAATCTAAATAACACATTTTGTAGAAGTTAAAAAAGATGGACATTGAAGAAAATGGTGATATGGAAAGAAACTTAGTGACTTGATGTGGTTTATAAATTCTGATCAGTTCATGTTCAGAGACTATCTGGCTTTATATTAGCTCCTCCTTTTTTGTGTCAGCACCTCCCACTTAAATTAATTGCCAATCACTCAAATTAATGTCTAGTGCTAATTTTGTTTTTCTAAATATTCTAGCAATTTGATTGGCTGAGAAATATAAGGGCAAACGCTTTGAATCACTATAAGAATGAGAAAATCGGCTGAAAAGTTTACATACATAATGTGCTTTTGTAATAGCTTCAACAAGGTGGTAGCAAATGAGTTTCTGCAAATATTGATTTATGTCCAATCAACTAATGATTCAATCCAAATGGAGCAAAGATCTGTGGATAGTTTTCTCGATTTTTTTATGCCTTTTCATGATGCCTTTTGCTTTTATGCAAATGAAGTCTGTATAAATTCAAGTTAAGATCATGTCCGATAAATTCTGTTGTGAATGTTTTCAAATTTTTTGTTGAGCTTTATGTTTGCTATTCTTCGTGTTATTGTTTATTTTTTAAACATTAGATATTTAGTATATAAATTTAACAAAAATCATTTACATTGTATAGTTCAATTTTGCATTTATTTATTATTGCATGTTGTTTTTTTTCCATTTTTTATTGACAATGTTTCATTAACGAAATGTATAAGGGTCAAATTGCTATATGTGTATGAATCTGAACTTTTGTTATAATTTTATGAGCTCAGACTCTCTGAGCTTGTAATATCATTGCATGTTCATTGTTTACGGACAAAATAATTCAGTGAAATCCCCTGTAAATGGTACAATTATAACCTACATATTAAATGTAATTCAAACTTATCATGACAGCCCGGAATATATGCATACATGTATGTATCCAAGAATATATTCTTTGAGTATCAATTGTTCTGTCAATAGATTCAAGTTTTATTTGAGGTTGTGAAAACTTAAGTCAGAATTGCCTCCCTTTAATAAAGATTTATTTTTCAGGAGTTAACTCCCTTGGATGAAATTGTGGTCTAAATTTAGATAATTATTGTTATTTAGATAATAGTTGTTTTAGTTAGCTCCCTTGGATTAGAAATATTTTCTAAATATGGAAAAAAGTTCATTAAAATAAGTTTCAGAAATTAACTCCCTTTGATGAAAATGATGTGATATAGATCTTCAAATATTAATCCTCTTATCATGTGACCTTCCAAGGGTGAGGCAAGTTTTGCGTAATCATAATTTCGAATCTTGAAACTTTTCCAAAATTGGTCTGCAAATGAAGGTACTCAAATTAGTGGTAAAGGGCCATAACTGATGTTTTGTTTATTTTTTCTTAGTTGTTTTGTTCTTGAATGAAATTTTGAAGCATTTAACGAATTGATTTTTTTCTAGTCACTGTGAAATGTTATAAAGGTGACTTAACAGTGTTTTGTTTAGGTGTTAATTTTTTGTTTTGATTATTATTTTTTATTTTTATTATTCTATTATTATTATATCATGAAGGTTAGTTATATATACAAATGTATATAACACAACCGCCCATTTTATGTGTTATAAAGACCCCCATATCAAATGTTTTCTTTGAATTAAATCCTACCAATTTATGTCTGTATTTCTTCAAGATTTTTATTAAAATTTTCAGAACAAATCAACTCATGTATTTCATGTATATAATCTGGTGAATACTCATTCGAGCCGCGTCACGACAAAACCAACGTAATGCGTTTGCGACCAGCATAGATCCAGACCAGCCTGCGCATCCGCGCAGTCTGATCAGGATCCATGCTGTTCGCTTACAAACCCTATTACAAGTAGAGAGACTGATAGCGAACAGCATGAGTCCTGATCAGACTGCGCGGATGCTCAGGCTGGTCTGGATCCATGCTGGTCGCAAACCCATTATGTTGGTTTTGTCATGACGCGGCTCATTTATTTATACTATAAGAAAAGCTTGATTCTCCTCTATATTTATGAATTTTTCACAGCTTTATTTTTTTCTTCTTATTTTTGAAATCTAAATTCTTACGCTGGAATTACGATATTGTGTTAACAGAACAGATGTATCAGGGAGTTTCTGTGTATTTGCTAAATTAATTTGTCACATATAAACTGACTTCTGTAAAAGAAATGATCGAAATCAGTCTGTGAGGGGGTGACATCAGATGTGTTTGTGTTGTGATTTTTTTTCCTTCTTGAATTACTTTTATTTTGTTCTTTAGACGCAGATATATAGAGTAGGATTTTTATTTCATCATCGTGTACTTGTTGTAAAGATTGAGATGTATATCATTTATTTATTTATTCTGTATACTGGTAAGCATGGCCCTCATATCTGCTTTACACATTGTTAGGCTTAATATTTATTCAAGGCATGTTTGTGTTTAACTTAGGTTACTTCGGTGATAAAAAGGAAAAGACTTTGATTTATTTTTTACAGAAAAAGTTTGTTATTGTAGTACAGTTAAAGAAAAAATTAGACTTTGCGAATGATTTATTTTTTACAGAAAAGTTTGTTTTTGTTCAGTGAATTCTGTAGTCACTTAAAATAAAAGAAATATCTTCTCAATAAATCAATTTTTAACTCACTGTTGTGTAATTTATTGTTAAAATATTGTTTTTACGTGACAAAATCCATCTTTCAGTTAAATATGAAAGGAATCTTTTTATAACATAATCTTTTTATGATTTACGAAATGTTACGTTTTACATATTAGCAAATTTCTCGAATTGAATGTAAAGAATGAACGCAATATTCATAACCTTATACTTTCCTACTTAAATTATTCTTATTTAACTCGCATTGGTGTTGTAAAGTACTTGAAAAGTGCAAATTGTGGTCACTCAACGTCCATCCGAAAGTTACTCAACATCTTAAAAATGTGATAATGCCTGAATTGATAAACCTTTTTACGAACTATCCTTTTGGATTCCCCCTTTTGAAACTGTTTATAGGTTTGTTTAATTAAGTAACAAAATAAAACATTTTCATGTCAAAATTTGTATTTCGATTTTGAAATTATATTTTACACAAAGATTGTGTGAAAATGTTTATTCATTATGAAGATGTATAAAAACCTGTTGAAAATTTGAATTCTTTGAGAATTTGATTTAAATTTTGTATGGACTAGATTTTCTTCACTGTACTGTAAGTTTATTTATTCAGGTGAGCGAAGTAGAACCATCATGGTCCTCTTGTTCAATTTATGATGAAACTTTAAGGATTGTTAAATTTCTATTG